CCTCAATGAACAATTTCAAATTGCTGTAGTTATTGACAAACTGCCCCCTGGTTGGAAAGATTTCAAAAATGTGCTTCGTCACAAAACAAAAGAATTTTCAATCGAGAGTCTGATAACTCGCCTCCGAATTGAAGAGGAGGCTCGAAAACAAGATCAGAAAGAAGAAGTCTTAGTTGTGTCTAACAACAAAAAGAAATTCGGTGCGGTTCTGAAGCCTACGGGCAGACCTTTAAAGAATCAGAATCGCAATGCTATGAACCGAACTAAGAATGGAAATCCCTCTAGGGCCCCATCGGCTCCATTTGCTAAGCAACAGCCACCACCTCAAAGAAATGATGCTCCGGTTTTTTCTTGCTACAATTGTGGGAAACCGGGCCATATGGAAAAGAAATGTAGGAGCAGGCCTAAACCTGCAGCTGGCTCAAATGCTCAGGTCAACCTGACTGATGAGCAACTCATTGCCATGATCACTGAAATCAACATGGTTGGTGGAAGCAATGCTATGAACCGAACTAAGAATGGAAATCCCTCTAGGGCCCCATCGGCTCCATTTGCTAAGCAATAGCCACCACCTCAAAGAAATGATGCTCCGGTTTTTTCTTGCTACAATTGTGGGAAACCGGGCCATATGGCAAAGAAATGTAGGAGCAGGCCTAAACCTGCAGCTGGCTCAAATGCTCAGGTCAACCTGACTGATGAGCAACTCATTGCCATGATCACTGAAATCAACATGGTTGGTGGAAGTGATGGTTGGTGGATAGACACTGGCGCCACTCATCATGTATGTTATGATCGTGCTATGTTCAAGACATACATGAATGCTGAAGATAAGAAAGTGTTGTTGGGAGATGCTCACACCACTAATGTTGCTGGAATTGGAGATGTTGAGCTGAAGTTCACTTCATGAAAGACTTTGATCTTGAAGGACGTCATGCATGTTCCTGAAATTAGGAAGAATCTTGTTTCTGGTTTTCTTTTGAATAAGGCTGGGTTTAGTCAAACTTTAGGGGCAGATTTGTACACCATCACTAAGAATGGTATTTTTGTTGGAAAAGGGTACGCCACTGATGGCATGTTTAAGTTGAATGTTGATTTGAATAAAATTTCTCCTTCTGTTTACTCTGTGTGTGACTTTAATATTTGGCATGGTAGACTTTGTCACGTTAATAAACGAATCATTTCTAATGCAAGCAACATAGGCCTAATCCCTAAACTAAATGTTAATGATTCCAATAAATGTGAATTTTGCAGTCAAGCTAAAATAACAAAAACTTCACATAAGTCAATTATAAAAGAATTTGACCCCCTAGATCTTATACACTCTAATATATGTGAATTAGATGGAAGTTTAACTAGAAATAATAAACGTTATTTTATCACTTTTATTGACGATTGCTCTGATTATACTTATGTATATCTAATGAAGAATAAAAGTGAAACACTTGACATGTTTAAGGTGTATGTAACTGAAATTGAGAATCAATTTAACAAGAAGATTAAGAGACTTCGCAGTGATAGGGGAACCGAATATGACTCTAGCTTGTTTAATGATTTTTATGCTGAACATGGTATTATACATGAAACGACTGCTCCATACTCTCCTGAAATGAATGGTAAAGCAGAAAGAAAGAATAGGACTCTTACTAAACTTGTATTTGCAATCATGTTGAATTCTGGTGCTGCACCTCACTGGTGGGGGGAAATTTTATTGACTGTTTGCTATGTCCTGAATAAAGTTCCCAAGTCAAAAAGTAAGATCTCACCTTATGAGATATTAAAGAAAAGACAACCAAATTTGTCTTATTTAAGAACTTGGGGCTGTCTCGCTTATGTCAGAATTCCGGATCCGAAACGAGTTAAACTCGCTAGTAGAGCCTATGAATGCGTATTCATTGGGTATGCAGCAAACAGTAAGGCTTACAGGTTTTATGACCTAAATGCCAGAGTAATTATAGAATCAAACGATGTTGAATTCTTTGAAGACAAATTTCCTTTCAAATCAAGAAATAGTGGGGGCACACAATCGAGTCACATTCCTGTGATAAAAAGCACTGAAAGCAGCGACAATGTAGAAATAGAACTTCGAAGAAGTAAAAGAGCAAGAGTTGCTAAAGACTATGAGCCCGATTATGCGGCCTATAATGTAGAAGAAGATCCAATAAATCTTCAAGAAGAACTGTCATCTATGGATGCAGACTTATGGCAAGAAGCCATTAATGATGAGATAGATTCTCTAGAATCTAACAAGACCTGACACTTAGTAAACTTACCTCCGGGTTGCAAACCAATTGGTTGTAAATGGGTTTTGAAAAAGAAACTAAAACCTGATGGAACGATTGAGAAATACAAGGCTCGCCTTGTAGCCAAGGGTTTTAGACAAAGAGAAAATATAGATTTCTTCGACACCTTTTCTCCGGTCACTAGAATTACATCCATTAGGGTACTCATTTCAATAGCAACCATTTATAACTTAATAGTACACCAAATGGATGTTAAAACAGCTTTTTTAAACGGTGACTTAGAAGAAGAAATCTATATGGAACAACCAGAAGGGTTTGTGATCCAAGGACAAGAAAGCAAGGTCTGTAAGTTAGATAAGTCTCTGTATGGACTAAAACAAGCCCCTAAACAATGACATGAAAAGTTTGATAACCTAATGATAATTAATGGGTACAAAGTGAATGAAAGTGACAAGTGCGTCTATTACAAATCTGAGAATCACATTTGTACTATCATATGTCTATATGTAGACGATCTACTTATATTTGGATCAAACATTCAGGCCATTAATGATATGAAATCATTGTTATGCAATAACTTTGATATGAAAGACCTCGGAGAAGCAAGCGTGATCCTGGGTATCAAGATCACGAGATCCGAACAAGGAATTTCTTTGGATCAATCTCACTATGTGGAGAAGATCTTAAAGAAATATAAATACTTTGATTATAAACCTGCATGCACTCCGTATGATCTAAGTGTGAAACTATTTAAGAACACTGGAGAGAGTGTCAAACAAGCAGAATATGCGAGCATCATTGGCAGTCTTAGGTATGCCACTAATTGTACTAGACCTGACATTGCATATGTCGTAGGACTGTTGTACAGATTTACAAGTAGGCCGAGTAATGAACATTGGCAAGCTATTGAGTGAGTAATGAGGTACCTTAAAAGGACTATGGATCTCGGCCTACACTATCAGAAATTTCCTGCTGTACTAGAAGGGTATAGTGATGCAGATTAGAACACCTTATCGGATGATTCTAAAGCTACTAGTGGTTATATATTTAGTATAGCCGGAGGAGCTGTATCTTGGAAATCAAAGAAATAGACCATTCTGGAACAGTCCACAATGGAGTCTGAGATGATAGCATTAGCTACAGCTAGTGAAGAAGCAAGTTGGTTAAGATGCTTGCTAGCTGAGATTCCTTTATGGGAAAAACCGATACCAGCTGTGTTGATCCACTGCGATAGTACCGCGGCTATTGCAAAAGTTGAGAACTGCTATTATAATGGTAAAAGACGTCAAATTCGAAGAAAACATAGCACTGTTAGAGACTGTATCTCTAAAGGAGCTGTGAGAGTGGATCATGTACGCACTGATGAAAACTTAGCAGATCCTTTGACGAAAGGATTAGCTAGAGAGAAAGTCCATAATACATCCAAAAAGATGGGACTAATGCCTATAAAGCAAATGGTTACTCATGATGGTAACCCGACCTAAATGACTGGAGATCCCAAGAATTAGGTTCAATGGGTAATAACAAGTTGTGAGTAATATGAAAATGATCATGCAAGTAAAGCATGAATCCTGAAGTAATGAGAGGATGAGATAATAGAAACTCTTAATGAGATCTATAATATGTATGAGGGAGTACCTAGGCTACAAGAGTACTCTTGATAGATTCACCTATGTGACTGTGGAACTGAGGCCGGTTCCTATGGAATTTCGAGGCAGAATTCCTAGAGCATTCACTAAAATCGGGATACACGTGCAGGGCCACTAAAGCACGGGCTACAAGAATACACCTTACGGAAAGGTTGTGTGCGGGTCTGATGTCGGAGATAGAGTTCAAGACAATGGTGTCACTCTTGTTGGATCAGAATCCTACTCGCTACGCTAAGGTTCAAGTCGTAGACACCTTTGCTTATGCTCAACCTGAGAAACGTCTGACGTACTTCTAAAATTTCTTTTAAATTCAAGTGGGGGAATGTTGGAACTCTAATTAATTAATGGTGGAACTTTAATTAATTAGAGTGGGAATTGGAAATATTTGTTGACAATTAATGAGCAATAAATGAACACAAGTGAGAACTAATATAGAAGTGAATTTGAAAAGATTCATTTTAGTCCCACATTGAAGGGAATGGAAATATTAGTAGTGTTTATATATTCCAACTTTGTCTATTGGGTTGGGCCCTAAAGGGCACCCAATTTTGTGAAAGGAGTGAGAACACACCCATGACCAACAAGACACACGCGCGCGCGCCGCCGCCGCCGTCCGTCCGTCCGGCCGGTTCGGCTCGGTTCGGTCCGGTCTAGATGAATTATTTTTTGGACCCGAATTTATATAATTTAATTATCATTAATTAATTAATATAATTCGGTGGAAAATTAATTAATAATAAATATTAATTAATTAAGAAAATAATTGGTCAGTAACTGTCAGATCCAGTCCTCCACGAATTTCTCATTCTCCCACCATTTTCTCCACTCCCCACGAATTTCTCCCCACTCAGGTGCAGTTTGCTGCCTATAAATACAGGGTAGAAATTCAGAAGTGGACACATCGGATTTCACAAATTCACACGAATTTTGATTTCCTTCTTCTCTCCCTTTATTCTCTTCATCTTACAATTTTTTCTTTTCTTGATTGGTTATTTCCGCCAGATACTAATTTAGAAAGGTGTATTTCTAGAGCGATTTATTAGTGTGCAACTGATAATCGTAAGTTTTAAGAACGGGTTGTTTTATAAAACATATATCAATAAAAAATAAAATGGGACGAGGGCGGCCGCCAAAAAAATCGGTGCCTCCACCACCATTATCTCCGGTGGTCTCTACTCCGGTAACTCAATCGAACTCGCGAAGCCACAATGTTAGCAAGAATCTCAGCACAACAGAAATTGTGGGAATCAAAGACCTTGGAGAAACCTCAGATGCTCGGGAAGACGGAAGTATTGAGGAAAAGCGCAAAGAAGTAGACCTGGAAAAACCTAATCAAACTGCAACTCCTGAAGAAGGGCGGAAGCTATGGGCTGATGTGTTAAAGGATAATAGGAATCCGGCGAAAGGTCGTGCTATGAAGTTCATACCCCCTCAAGTCGTGGATGGGAAAATAGAGGTTCTAATTGAAGAAGATGATGTCAGTTCTGAAGTCTAGTTCTGGGAATCTTCTCTGATTCTTTATGCAATGGGAGCGGATTTGAGTATGAATGCTGTCAAGAATTTTATGACCAGATCTTGGAACTTTGTTCAACTGCCGGACATGTATTTCAATGATGAAGGGTATTTCATTCTCCGGTTCAAATCATTCACAGATCGAGACGAAGTTTTGCTGAGAGGACCGTACATGTTAAGAAACATTCCTTTGTTGATTCGTGAATGGAGACCAGATTTCAAGATCAAGGATGAGCTATTGCGAACCCTACCTATTTGGGTAAAACTTCTCCAACTCCCTATCATTTTGTAGGGTGATACAAGCCTGAATAAGATTGGGAGTGCCCTGGGTAAGCCTATTATGACAGATGAATGTACTGCTAATAGACTGCGAGTATCCTATGCGCGCATTCTTGTTGAAATGGATATTACAAAGGAGCTTCCTCAATCAATCACCATTGCTGATCATGAAGGAGAAAAGATGCAACAATCAATTGAGTATGAGTGGAGACCTTTATTCTGCAACAAATGTCAAAAGGTAGGTCATTGCTGTGATAAGCCTAAGATGAGGAAACAATGGATACCTAAGAATGTGAAGCAACCTGAAGCTAATGTGATGTCAAACAAGGCTGAGGATGATAATCAAGGGCCTATTGAAGTAGGAAATGTCAATATGGATATAGTTTAGATCAAGAAGGGTAATGCTAGTACTACTGCTGATGAAAGTCTTTCTATCAGAAACAAGGATGTGGAAACAGTTATGGAAAAATGGACTGAGGTTATTAAAAGTGGTAGAGATAGAGGAAAAAAGACAGGTAATGCTGGTGCTGCAGGTGTGCTTTCGTATGATAATGGGTTTGATGCTCTAGAGATTTTGAAGGATCTCATAGAGGCTCAAAACACAGGCCAATGATTGTCTCTTGGAATCTCAGGGGGTTGAATAAAATGGGGAAGCTAAAGGAGACTAGCTCCCGTCTCCTAAACCTTCATCCCAAAATTGAAATACTACTAGAAACTAGAGTTAAATGTGATAAAGCAAAGAAAGTTAGAGACTGTCTTAACCTCAGAGGTAAATATATTGATAACTACCAAGCTCATTACAATGGCAGGATTTGGATTTTTTTGGGATGATAGTTACAAGGACATCAGAGTGGTGAGTTGCACATCTCAGATGATACACTGTGGAATATATGATATCAATGGTAACTTCCAAAACTGGTTGACAGCCATTTATGTTATGAATCAGCTGGACCAAAGAAGGAAATTATGGGAGGATCTGGTGTACATACATAACAACCAACAAGGGCCTTGGTTCCTTATGGGTGATTTTAACAACGTGACAAAGTCCATGGATAGGATTGGGGGAAACTTGGTGACTGAGAGAGAATATGTTGATCTAAGAAACTTGATGGATCATGCTGGGCTTTTTGAGAAGGACAACACAGGTGATTATTTTACCTGGACAAATAAACATTCTGTAGGTACTATATACTCAAAAATTGATCATGTGCTTGGTAACATTGAATGGCTGCAGGAAAACACTGATGTGAATCTAGAGATTCTCCCACCTAGTATTTCTGATCACTGCTTACTTTGTTTGTCTGACCAGAAAAGAAACAGGACTGTACACACCAACTTCAAGTTTACTAATAGTGTGATAAAGGTGGCTGGGTATCAGGACATTGTAAAGCAGAGTTGGCATAAAGTGTGTGTGGGAAGACCTATGGCTCGGTTGTGGTACAAGCTTTTGAGGTTGCAGGCTCCTCTTATCAAATTGAGCAAGCAGTTCTCTCATCTCCATATGTCCATTATAAAAGCCAGGACTGAGCTTCTCAAAGTGCAGGAAGAGTTATTGGTGGACAGAATGAATGTAGGGAGCATTGAAAAGGTGAGAAGGTTTACTGATGAAGTGATCTACCTGCAGGACCTAAATGTTAAAATGCTTAGACAGAGATCAAAACTGGATTGGCTTAGAGAAGGTGACACAAATTCAGCTTTCTTCTATGCCTACCTCAACTCTAGAAATACAGTTACTCACCTCAGTCAACTTCAAAAGGAGGATGGCACTTATATTCAGAATATTCCTGACATTGAAAGAGAGGTTTGTGACTTTTATGGTAATCTGTATGGGACTAAATAACATAGGGTGAGTATGATTGATATCAATTCTATGAGGGAGGGACCCCAGTTAACTATGATGCAGAGAGCTGAACTTATTACCCCTGTTACTGTTGCTGAAATCTGTACTGCTATTAAAGGGATTGGGGACCTAAAGAGCCCTGGTATTGATGGGTATGGTGGAAAATTTTTTAAGGCTAGTTGGGAGATCATAGAGCAAGATGTTGTTGAAGCTGTCCAGGAATTCTTCGAGAAAAATGTGTTATACAAAAGATTTAATGAAACAATTGTTACTTTGATCCCTAAACATCCTGCTGCAAAAATGATAAAAGAGTATAGGCCTATTGCAGGATGCACAACGGTTTATAAAATCATATCCAAGATCCTATCTGCGAGACTTGGGAGAGTTTTGGGGTCTATAATCAGTAAAGCTCAGGCATCATTTGTACCAGGTCAGAATATTCACTCTCATATTTTATTGGCTAGTGAATTGTTAAAAGGTTACAATAGGAAAAATGGTACGCCAAGATGCATGGTCCAGCTTGACATTCAAAAAGCTTATGACATGGTTGATTGGGGTGCTCTTGGAAATATCCTCAATGAGATAGGACTACCAAAGAGGTTTATTGATTGGATTATGATTGTTGTTACCACAGTCTCTTATAGATTCAATATAAATGGCAACTACACTGACAAGGTTGAAGCAAAAAGGGGTATTAGACAAGGGGATCCTTTGTCCCCCCTTCTGTTTGTGATTATTATGGAGTACCTTAGCAGGATATTGGTCAGAATGCAAAAAAATCTGAATTTCAATCACCATTCCAGATGTGAAAAGTTGCAGCTCACCCATCTTACATTTGCTGATGATCTCCTACTGTTCTCTAGAGGGGATAAAGGCTCCATGGAAATTCTGCAGCGCACCATCATTAGTTTCTTGGATTCAACAGGTATGAAAATTAACCCTACCAAGAGTAAAGTGTATTTTGGTAGTGTCTCAGATCCTGTTAAGCACTCAATTCTGAATTTTACTGCTTACAATGAGGGGACTCTCCCATTTAGATATCTTGGAGTCCTAGTGAGTAGTAAAAAGCTGTCTGTGGTTCATTATATGCCGTTGGTGGATAAACTGTTGAGTAGGATAACTCATTGGAGCTCTTGACTTCTTAGCTATGCCGGTAGATTACAGTTGATTAAAACTGTACTGTATGTTATTACTTCATATTGGATGCAGTGTATTTGTTTCCCTAAAACTGTGATTAGCAAAATCAATGCCATTTGCAGATCTTTTCTCTGGACAGGAGGAAGCACTATAAGTAGGAAGAGTCCGATTGCCTGGGATAAGGTTTGTAAACTTGCTATAAAAGGAGGGTTGAATGTGCTTGATTTAGTGGCATGGAATAGCATGTTTATGATGAAGTTACTCTGGAATATATGCATGAAAACTGATGATCTATGGGTTCGGTGGATACACGCCTATTACCTGAAGAATGAGGATGTTATGAATAGAATGGTTAAGAATTCAGATTCAAATATTTTTAAAACTATTCTTCTGCAGAGGGAAAATATAGGAAATATGCAGGATGCTTGGAATGAGATGGTGCAAGCAGGGAGATTCATTGGTAGGAGAGTGTATGTGAACTTGTTACCTGCCACACCTAATGTTGTCTGGGCCAAGCTAATTCTCCACAATAGAGCTAGACCTCGTGCAATATATACTCTCTGAATGATCTGTCATGGGAAGCTAGCCACAAAAGCCAGATTGAATCGGTTTGGTATGGTGAATAATAACAAATGTGTTTTTTGCTCTGCGGTGGAAACCATTGACCACCTATTTTTTGAGTGTACTATTTTGAGGCAGGCTTGGGTTGAAATGATTCTATGGATTGGTATCCCTCACACTCCCGGGAATTGGAATGAGGAGAAAAACTGGATTTTGAATTGTTATGGAGGTAAAGGTTGGAAAGCTGATCTTGTTAGATTAGCTCTGACTGAAACTCTACATGAGATGTGGAGCTTTAGAAATGACACTTGTTTTAATCAAAAAAATGACAATAGGAATTTTACAGATAGAATCATTAACAACATAGTTTATAGAGGGTGGTCAAGTCCTAAGCTCAGACCACATATAGCTCTTTTGATGGTACCGTAAGTTATTTCTTGGTATGGACTGGATTTCGATCGCCTTGTATTATTTCTGACTTTGGATTAATGAAAATTTTTTATTCAAAAAAAAAAAAAAAACAGGCTGTTTTATCCTGGAGGCGTCGTCATAAATCGACTGCTTTGCATAATTTGGCAGTACGGCGAAACGTCTTAAAGAAAGCGACCTAGTACGCGACTCGTCCCGATAATTTCCTTGTGCCAAACTCAATTTTTTAAATCCGAAAACAACAAGAACCCTTTTCGAGATAGAGAGTTGAGGAAGAGATTAAAGATTAGTGTGTCCCAAGATGTTTAACCTTCGCCGCCGCTGATTGCCTTTTCATGTGCGGTGATGTTGTAATTGTTGTTGGCGGCGCAACTCGTGAGGGAAAGAAGAAAGATTGCATTTTGAGAGAGTGGGAATCATAGCGATTTTTGAGAGAGAACACGAGATTTTCTTGGAGGTAAAAGGCAGAGGAATTATGGATGAATTCTGGTTTATTTCCTTCAAACTAGGTCACTCTCTTTGTGCCTTGCGTTTTGTTTGTGTAGGTGTTGGGTTGGTTGAGATCCGAATGGATCTCTTGACCCGTTTTCACCATGAACTTGGTCCGTCTCATTGTATTCTTGGGCCTGCACTTTCTTTTCTTTTCTATCTTTTATATTATTTTGTTTTTTTTATTTCATATTTAATTAGTTAATTAGTTAATTAATGTCCAAGTTATTTTTCTAAGCGTCATTATT